TTTAAAAAAAAAAAAAAAAAGCTCAAATTTTCGATGTTATATTCATTTTCACTTAAAGCAGTTCTTCTCTTTAAATAATCCTTAAATTATCCAGAACTTATTATCAAGAATTCTAAAAATAAACTTAGAAGTGTTTTTGAACACTTCTAAGCAATATCCCAGTGATTGTTAACATTCTTTCACCTGGGATGGTTCTTCTATACCCAGGGAGAACACTGGGATTGACATAATAAGAAAAGCATTAGAAAATATGACTCTTGCTCTAGATACAATTTATAAACCAATGCTGGCCTGTGCAGTAAGAGAGTGTCATGTATATAAACATGCACCTCTCTTTTGATCTTCAGGTCCTCAGGCATGCATACAAACACATTCACACATCCCGTTCAGGAGAGATGAAGAGGTGGCTTCCCCAAAGGCAGGCTACCAAAGCATGTCAGAAATCAAGCCTAGAGCACTTATAAAACGGTTAAGATTCTTGACATACTTGAGCAGGACCCGTCTGGCATAAGCATGTATCCGTTGAGACAATAGCACTTGTAGCTGCCGAAAGTGTTCATGCATCTGTGCTTACAGGGCCTCGGCTTCAGGCCACACTCGTTTAAATCTGCAAGGAATGAGGATTAAAGCAGAAAAATCACAAAACTCACCACTGATGGGAAAATGTTTTAAATGCATCTCAATATGAAAGATGAAGGAATCTGCAAGGAATGAGGATTAAAGCAGAAAAATCACAAAACTCACCACTAATGGGAAAATGTTTTAAATGCGTCTCAATATGAAAGATGAAGGCAAAACAAAACAAAACAAAACAAAACAAAACCCCAAAATGGGTCAAGACAGTGAGATCATCCCTTCCATGACAGACAAAGCCTGTGTGTACCATCTTAACATGAACATGACACTAGGAGCAACTAGACGTTGCCGGGAACGTTATGGATCTCTGATCCTGGGGGGACAGATGGGAGCCTTCTCCTCACAGATGTGTAGCTGTCTGTAATCTCCACAAAGAGCAGCACCCTTGCTCAAGGGTAGGGGTGTTCTACTGTTTATCTACCTGACTGCCACTAAGCTTAAGATACAAGTGTCCTGCCATCAGAATCCCTCTTGATAATGGATTCTACTAAAGGGGGCATTACATGACACTTTTCACTTCATGGAGAATGTGCAAACATTAAGACATTAGAATGATTTGACCTTTTCAAAGGTCAGCTAAGTTTTCAGAGGGGGAAAAACAGCATGGAGCAGACCAATCACCATCGTGACTTCTCTTGTTCAGTCTGACAAGTTCTGTACTGACCTTGGATTAAAGAAAATTCATCTTCCTATTTTACTAATCCATTCAAGTCACAAAACAAGACTTTCAAGCCTTCCAGTACATTCTCATTCATTGGCAGCTAAGAGGAACACTAAGGGACACTAAGGGAACACTAAGGGAACACTAAGGGACAAAACATCATTCTGTATTTTATGTTTATTGGCTTAAATATCAATGTGAAATTAATGAATTCCACAATATAAAGGTTTTCCAGCACAAATCGAACACTCCCTCAAGTCAACATAAAATTCAAAATGACTTAAAGCACTGAAATAGTAATGCCCATAACATAGACCTCATTAAAAAGAAACATGACCACATATTTGTCTAGAAACAATAGCAGAAGTACCTTACTAGTGTAATTTAATTACCAATTTATCCATATCACTGAATAAAAATATAGTTAATATATCTAGCTGCAGAGTTGTTTCCAAATCTAATCACAGTGACCTCTGACCTGCTCATTTACTAGAGGAGTGGAGTGTTTCACTGAGGCATCTGGTTACATCGAGTTTTAAAGTCACCAAATAAATATTACATCTAAGAGTATTTTCACATCTTACTGATTTTCCAACTTGGTCTATTTTCTACCTTTACCACAGTGTAAGCACATCGCCAGCTGGGCAAAGTCTGGAGAGGTTAGATAAACACAGCAAATACCTTTGTCATTTCCTATGTTTTCTACAATTCTTCGCTTTATTGTCTTTTGTCCAGTCAAAGGTTTTCAAAACAGAATCACATTTTAAGCATTTTTTAAGAAACCTCTCCACTCATAGAAGATACTTTATAGATTATTCTATCAAAAATGTTGACTGCCCCTCTGTTGAATGAATGAGCAGAACTGCCTGTGGTGAAATTCTGCACCCTGTTCATACTCTCTAGCTTGTACTTGAAATTTTATTATACATTTGAGTCAGGGAAATCTTTCTTATCGTCTAAAAATTTTGTTAGCATCCTTAACATCACCCATGCAGAGTGGCACTGGCCTTGACTCCCCAGAGAGAAGTGTTTAATCTGAGCACGCTATCAGACAGAATCGTTTCTTGGCCTGTGCTCAAAGGCATGCAACAAATCAGTACCTCAAAGTAAGAATGAGATTCAGTTCTGCATTTCCAGAGAGGGCTGTTTAAAGTATCAATTAAGATTCCCCAGTTTATTTTTAGAGAGCAACAGAAACTTCTGGAGGTTCCTTACCAGAACCAGCAGCTGTTTATAACCCCAGGCAGCTCATAAGCAAGGAGTGTTTGATGCCAGTGGGAATCTCTCCAGACACTGTGTCCCCAGTGGAGGCAGTGCTTCCACAGCCTGGCCCCAGGGCTGGTCAGTGAGGCCCTTTAGGAAACCTTTGGGCATCCAGGCTGGGTTGCCAGGGCTCTTAAAGACTGACTTTACCCAGGTTTATCTTTTCCTTCTCACTGGGAAAGTGCTTTGTGGTTAGGAATCTTAAAATTGAAAGGATATAAAAAACTTTTAAAAATGTGAAAATTACTCTATGAAAAAATAGGGAAAAGGAAGAAAACAGAGCATCCAATGGGTAAAAGGAGAGGAGATGGTTGTTTTACCTGTTATAAAATGCGACGTAAAAATCCAAGCATATGGAAAGCAACTTGAGAATGGCCCTAGGAGTCGTTAATGAGCTGGATGTGGTTCCCTTGACAGGTGGTTGGTGTTATGTTAGTGTCCCTGGTGACTGCCTGGCCACATGTCCAACAAACTTCACAATAACCCTTATGAGAGCCACCGCAGGCAACACAAAACAGGGTTCCAGCTACCTTTCATCAGCACTGACCCAGTAACAAGTCCTGGTGAGTAGGAACACCAAAGCTCCTGGCACCCTGCTGAAGAACCTATTCCCTTTCCATTTTCTTGAATGTTTCTAGCCTATAATTATCCCACCTTATTTTTTTGTTGACCCAAAGCCTTATAAAATTGAGTTGCTATGTGTTGCTTCTGATAAATGTGGTATTCACATTTGTATTTTATCAAATTAAGTCAAAAGTTTCAATGACACTTTCAAACTGTGGCAAATGTCCTTATTAAAAACATGACATACTCCTCGTGATGCTCACTGTCTCAAAGAAATTTAAAAGTTGACAAGCAAGTCTAGGAAATAAATTCTAGTGTCTTTAAGTTTACTTTTAATCTTGCCTTGGAAGATCTATAATATAGATCTATAATAAAACTACAATGAATTCTAGCATGCACTTATCTTACACTAAAGAATATAATCGAATCCCTTACATTCAAACACTTTAAATATTATGCATATAATTCATGAAGAGCATTATAATCAAGGGTACATTTAAGCAGCTTGTTGGATTTGGGAGCTTGGAGGGGGAAGGTAGAGACACGGAGGGGAGCTGGCCCACAACAGAAATGCAAGCTGCATAGCATCATTATTAGACTTCAGGTGGAAGAGAGTCAGAAACTGAATTAGCATGCAGACAAAGAAAGGTAGCTTGGAAAAACTTGGAAGAGACTCCTTAAATAAGATAGCCACCATGGTTTTACAGAAAACCATCATCTATTCACTTTAATGTACTTGGACTGTTTTCCTTTTGATGCTTAAAGTGGATGATGTTTCAGAAACCTAACCTTTAAAACTTTATCTCACTAAAGTAAGGCCATAGGCAAACACATGTCAAAATAGCAAAGGCCATAACTTTCCCCTAATGATGACCAACTCTAAAGTGAACACCATTGTCCTTGTCCATAGTGCAGGACATGCACAGGTTTACATCAGCAGAAACAATAATTATTCATAAACTATTTCAGTAGCCCTGAGTTCTTATGCCTATGAATGGGTAAGGATAAAATCTCAAAGAACTGGAAAGATATTCTACCACCTTGTACACCCACAGACTCCCATCACCATGAATATAACAACAGTGATAACAACAGCTTTGGTGCAGGACCCTCACACTGGCTCCACAGACAAGCAGGGCAGGAACTATTCTACTGTCCCCTACTAGAGTGGTGCTAAGGTCAGGCACTTTAAACGGGTTGCCAGTTAACAACTAATTAGAACTAGAGCTCAACCCTTATGACATTGCGCAGTGTGCGCCGAAAGAAAGAAGCAAATGTGTGGTTCGATTTATAAACGAGCCTAAAATTCCACATCCCTGACAGTCAGAGGAGGAGGGCACTAAATTACTTTCAAAATCACCCTGGAAAAAAAAGTCATCCAAACCCATAGCTTAGTAGAGGAATCTCTGATTTCGCCTACATATGAAAATGCAAACTATCTGTCTACCTGATTTTTGGAAATGGTTTCCAAACTCAGAGAACAGAAGGGAAAGTAATGGCATGTGATACAGTAAGAGAAGAGAAGGCGCCACGTTTTCCAAGGCACAGAGAATCAGCAACAGGTGGCAACTCCACGGCTCGCTTCACATGCTCAGGCTGAAGGCTTGCCACTTCTGCACTAGTCTTCAGGCATTTGCAAGAAGTGACGTAAGTGCAGGAAGCCTTCAGGTGGGAGGAGCGACCACCTGAGACAAAGCGCTCACCCCTTGAAGGTACACTTGTGGCTTGATGATCCAGGGGTTGGAAAAGAGGCTGTTCACTGCCTTGGTCAAGAGGAGTTGGGTAGAAGGGCTCATCTTCACAGCAGGGAGAAGGTAATTAGAGTCAGCTTTGAACTGATGTCAGTTTTAGCCCTAAAAACCTTTACAAGTATATATTAAACAATTACAAAATATTGATGGAGCTTAAAAGGACTCTTTGGCTAATTATGCTTTTTTAAAAAATTCTCTTTCTGAAAATTTGATAGCCATTTTCCTTTCCAGAGAAAAATTATAAATTAATAATCCATCATTTTCATATCATTAAAAACCAAAATAAGATTAATGTGTGGCTTTCATCATCAACAGAAAACATGAAACCAATTAATCAACTAACCATGTTTAGAATATTTAAATGACCAACTTAAGACTTATCTTACATTGTTACATTGCTAATAGTGGTTTAAAATATTCCCAAGTAATGCAAATGCTTATTTACATATGGATTTTACCTAAATCCTAGCATGACAGCTCATCATGCTTTCATTCAAAAGTAAAAACATGTGCCATATTTAGTTCACATTTCATTAGAATGTACATTAGAACTTTATGAAAAACCATGTTAACTGTTGCAATTGCTATTTAGCAAAACATCATGAGATGGCTGGGCTCAGAGCAGAATGTCAAAAGGGCAGCCCTTTTGTTTTCTGCTTTATAACACATTCTGTTTATCAGCCACTTAACTTCCCAAATC